ACATAGTTCAAACTGGAATCCTCATTATCGTAATCCCATCCCTCCAAATTCTTCCCTATTAAGCTTCACTGAAGAGAAGAGGAATAATTAATTAAATGGACTTCTGATGTTAAATTTAGTGATAAAATATTGAACCACCATGACTCAGCCCTTCGCCACATTCAAATTGAATGATAAAGTGTCTGTGACATTCCAGCCCAGGAATGACGTAGATCGCAAGAGAATTCTAGGCTCGTAAATTTGATTGAATATTCATTAGGCGGTTGACTGAAATGTTTCACAAAAAAATCTTCATGAAAATTTCACAGATGACGACGCAATGATCAAATTGATAATGGAAAAGTCTCGTAAAGGTCGAGTAATCTCGTTTGAGGTGAAATTGGGAACTAAGAAGATATCGTCCATCGAAAGGATCGTGGGGGAGTAAGTTTGTCTTTTCCTTCTATTTAATGTCATGTGTGACAAAATCGAATTCTTATTTTATAGTGGATGCAAGCTCATCTTCAGCCTAAATGGTGCAGGGCCAGCCAACTAAATGGATATGTAAATCACCAGCAATGATGATCTCCTTCAGAAAGAGAAGACTCGACAGAGGAAGAATTCAACTAGCTCAACGAGAGCTAAGATTGATGAGAAGAAAACCATGGCATTTTCTTCAAGTTCAGATGGAGAAGATTCTGAAGACGATGATGAGTCGCATGATCCGAAGGATTCAGAAGAATTCGCTCGACGTGGCAAACGAAGTGAGTTTCGGCGATTCATTAGTATTTTCCATTCGAAAATTTTCCGAATTGGTTAATTAATAAATTTATTTATGAATTAGTTAATGAATTGATTGAGAAATCAATTCATTTATTAGTCAATCAGTGAATTTATTAATCAATTAATTAATAAATTGAATAATCCATAGATTGGATTATATTTAAATCAATTTCTAATGTAATTTTATTGCACAACTCTTCATCTTGAGACATCTTCTATAGGAATGCCTCGACGTATATTGTTTACTCCATTTTTTGAACTCTCATTGGAAAAATCTCCCCAAAGAGGTTGTGGAAATTTTAACTGAGGAATTTTCTTACAAAATGCACTGTCGAATGAAATTTTCAATACATTCCTTAAGAATTTTCATCATACTATATTTCCATTTTGCCATTAATGATTAAAAATCTTATGGAAAAGTCAATTGAAATTGGGAATTCATGTATTGAATATCCACCCTTTCATTAAGAATTCTAGACATTTGGGGAATGTACAAAAAAGCTTAGTGAAGGATTGACAGAATACCAATAGCAGTAAATAAATTTGTATTTTTTTCAGGTTTTTGGACAGAAGATCATGAGATTTTTTTAATGGAGCAAGTAGCAGACATGGAACAAGATGTTGGCCCTCATAAGATATACAAAAATGATCTACAAATGTGGCAGGTAATCGCTAAAGATTTTAACGAGGAATTTGCAACACAGAAAACTTATACTCAAATGAGGTCCAAGAAGCAGTCCTTGATGAAGCGAAAGAACGATAGAATACAAAAAAAAAGATCACAAAGCCACGCCGAACAAGAGAGTCTGCATTGCAGAAGGCTCTGGCAGTCATGCGAGAAATGGATGCCAAGAGAGATGCTAAATGGGAGGAACGAGAGGCCATGCGAAAACAGGAAACTACTGAACGTGACCAAAGGCTCCTTAAGGCTATCGCTGAAATTATGGAAAAAAATTAGGAAAAATGAAGGAATTACCTTTGGAGGAATATTCCGAGCACCTGATCCGAATTCAATACTCGATTTAGGGCAGACCGCATTGAAATTTCGCAATCGCAGGGGCATTTATCTAGCGTGCTGGTGACTATATCGCTCTTGTTTTCATATGAAGAAAAAAAATATTTTTTTTTTATTCATCAGATCCAAAAGAGGCTTCAGACGAATAAAATTTACAAGTGTCATCATGACATAATCACCAACGTATATAAACATGATTAATTATAAGTTTTTCAAATTTCCACTTTAATTATTCGAATTTCCTTTTTTTTTCTTCATTTTATTTCAACATTAAACGTCAAGTAGTAAACTCATCAGCACGATTAATAAAGTCCCTTGAAATTTTGAACCTGTGAAACAGCGCCCTTTCTATTCTCTTTTTCGTTTAATATTCAATTCTGGAATTGGAAAGTAGGGGTTTATTTATTGGATTGCCGATTCAATTGATTTACTAGATTCTGTATTTTTAGCTTTTTATTATAGAATCCTGAAATTGTAGTTGTTATTGGAAGTGCTCTCAACTCTCAACTCTCAACATAAATTGGCGATTCATATGTATTTCAACCTTAAATTCGATTTGTCGTCATTAAAGTACGAATTGAATGCCGTATTATATTGAATTTCGTCATTCAATGGAGTTAAAATTCAAAATTCAAAATTTGGTTTGAGAAAACAGTACATCGACTGTAATGAATTGATATGATTTAGTTCTTGCTCAACGTTTGCCAATATTGTCACTTCATTGGTCCGTATTTAATATTTATTGTTTGTTCATTGTAATTAGGAAAGAATAAATAAACATTTTCATTTTGAAATGGATGTTTTTAATTCACAAAAAGAACTAGAATATAACTGTTGAATATTTTCATGTTCTAATAATTTTTACGTCAAAAATTAATTGTCGTTGGATGACGGATTGAATAATAAATTGAATAATAGTTTGAATAAGATGTTAGATAGTAGGTGGATAGTAGGTCGAATAGCAGGTTGAATTCCCTATGATGTCGCGTTCTTCAAGGTAGTTTTGAATGAATAATACTCGTCAGATGTCTTCTCATATTTAGCAATGTCTTCTGAAATTTGTTCGCTCAAGGACTCGATTATTGCGACCTTAGTAGCTGTTATCCATTCTGCTGGTGTACTGACTGCTATGTTAATTTGCTCATCGAGCAGTGCAATCGTGTCCATCTGCAGTTGGAGTTTCTCCTCAAACGTCTTTAAAATGGCTTCATCAATATTTAGTGTTGTTTTGAAAGATGGAGCACGAACATTCAGTGTTTGAAGAGCACTAGTAGTAGCAACCCCTTCAGCGGGATAAATGACCTGGTGAGTCAGTTCAGTTGATGTTTCTGCGATGTCACTGTAAGATGTGTCGCTGAGTGATGTAACTGAATCATCCAGCAGGGTGAAACTACTCTCACCAGAAGCTCCTTCTGGTTCTACAACATCGAGAAGGTCCATGCCTTGTTCATCACTGCTTTGCTCAGCTTTCACTTCAGTTGGCTGGTCTGCACTCGTGTCCATTCTCACTAGAAATATTATCATTTGTTTAACAACCTCGATTTTCTATAAACAAAAGTGGTATCAGTGGAGAAAATCCCTTTTCCTTACCTTTTTTCCACTTATTCCGCTACAGAAAAATATGTCAAGCAGTATCATTTAACACAATTGACAGTCACTTATGGGGAAAAAAAACGATCGAATATTTACGAGGATTTACGAATATTTACGAATATTTAATTGAATGGGAATGCGAAGCCTAGTGCCAGTGGTCTAACAGCAACTGCAACAAGTAGAACGATGATTGTTTTGTTGGTTTTGCTTAGTACATTCAGTATGTCTCCAGCTATCTCAATGACAGCAAACTTGCTGATGGGGTTGTGTTGAAGTGGTGACAGCAACTCAACAAGTCTCCACCTCTGTACCCTTTCTACTTTGATATTCTGGGTCTTAGTTGGATGAGTGAGAATGGACTGGTGATCCCTGTCATAATTATCACTCGGTACACTACCAGACTCCTTCTCTGGGCATTTCTCGCCTGAATCTCTTGCTTCCTCTGCTCCGCCTTCTCCAGCCTCTCGAGAGGCTCCATTATCGCCTCCATTTTCCTCTCCTCATGTGTCATCTTCTTCTTATCCTTCTTCGTCTCTTATAGAGGGGTGTCACTGAGTGGTGTCGAGGGCATCTCTGAGGGCATCTGTGGTGGATCAGCCAAGACTGGAGGCAGCTGTGTCACCTGAGGTACATCCTCCTTCCGTTTTTCATGAGTTTCAATAGCTCTCATTGGAGTGGCACCAAGAGTTCCAGTAGCAGTTGGTTCACTAGAAGAACTCGGTATCGTTGATAAACTCGAAGGAACACTAGCTGCACCAGAAGGAAGATGCTCTTCCTTCCTCTTCGTCGTGAAGATTCATTAAAATCCAGTAGTTTTCGATATTCTCATTATGTTCTTTTTTTTATCGAAGTGAAGTTTTATGTCTTTGTTATTCAATTAAAGAGAACGGTTGGAGATATTGAAGTGACATTTGAAAATGGCGAAACGAAAAGTAATTCAGACTATTTTACAAGAGTTACTGATAAATGAGGACAACTATCGTGATGATCAGATGGAAGAGAACGAATGGCGAGAAAATTGGATGACTGTAGTCACTTGCTTGTCAACCAGGCAAAAAAAACGAAAAGTCGACAATTTTTTGGAGGTGATACACTGCTATACAGATGAGGAATTTAGGGAGAACTTCCGTTTGGAGAGGACAGTGACGACTCAACTAATCGCCAAGTTTGAGGAATCACCATTCTTCCCGACCTATACTCTTGAGGGATCATCCGACATTTCTGCAGAAGAGGCAATTCTTATGTTCCTTTGGTAACATGAAAATTTATCGCGTAATTTTTCAACTTTTAATTCTTGTCACTTGAAATTGATAGGTTCGCTGGCAACAAGACTCTTCGCGATATAGCGGGAAGATTTGGAAAATCTCAAGCCACAGTTTGGCGGTACAACGATAGAGTGATGGATTTCCTGATTGGCATTGCTTCTGAAATCATCAAATTACCGCATGACAAAGAACGAGCTGCGAGAGAGTTTGAAATGGTGAGAATGAGAATAGTTATGAGTGCTATCAGGTGAAAAAAAAATCATCAGAATTTCCAATCATAGTTACCAGATTTATTCATTTATTTAGTTGTTAAATATATGTTAATATTTGTTAAATATTTATTTGTTAAATACCTGTTAATATTTTTAAAATATTTATATATTCATCTATTCATTTATTTATTTATTAGACGTATGATTTCGCTGACGTTCTGGGTGTAATCGATGGAACACATATTCGCATACGTACGCCAGCACACAAGGTCAGAGCTATGTATGGTGACCGCGATAAGCAGACGACACTCGGTCTGCAAGTCGTGTGCGATTCTCAAACAAGATTTATAAATGCATGCACAGGCATGTCAGGGGAGACTCACGACTCTTGCATGTTCTCCATGTCACCACTCTCTGAAAAACTACCAGGATCATTCGGTGGAAAATATCATTTAGTTGGAGACTCAGCCTATACATGCCAACAGAACTTAATCACCCCGTTCAGTCGGAGATATCTGTCGAGGGAAGAAATACAATTCAATCGTCGATTTTCCCAGATGAGGGTGTTAATCGAGAATGCTATCGGTAGGTTAAAAACTATGTTCCGAGGACTGATGAATATTGACATGTGGACAGTCGACAAGATGTCGAAATTCATCATCAGCTACTGTGTGTTATATAATATGAGGTTCGATGATGAATTATTAATTGAAAGGGATGGGGAGATCGATGATTGGACTCCTCTCATTAACGTTGATCCAAGGACTTCGGTGAGGATTGGGAAACAGAAGCGCGAGTACATGAAGAATCGCATTAATAATAAGTAGTAGTTTTTTTCACATTCGTTGTTTTTCCGAATGAAAATAATTAGTTGGTTCAATAGCCGTTGCCCGGGCATCTCCTTTTTTTTCTTCATCTTATTTCAATCCCTCAAGATTTTAAGAAACTGCATGAAAACCTATCATATAATAATGTTACATAATAAAATGATGAATTAATTTATAAATCAATTTGTATTTCAATCTATTACAGGAACGCGAAATTCACCTAACGACATTTTCATTTCAGTACCGAACTGACAAACAGTGATAACTCGATTTTGCGGATCTTATTATACATTGAATTATCTTACTGATGAGTGATTTTAGAAGTAAACACCAAGAAACTTTTTTTGTGGGGAATTTTGTGATTTAAAAAAAGCTCACTCATTATTGGGATAATTCAATTTTTGAGGAGATATTTGAAATCGACTTTTCACCGTTTACCATTCAACATTTCAATTCCACATTCAATTCAAAATTTATGTTGCTCTGGCCGTTTGTGTGAATATTATTAGTGATTTAAGAGAGTCCATTTAAGAATTCATTTTTTCAATTCCCAATTTCAGTTAAATAATCCGGATGTTCTCTAGCATTTGAGTATGTGGAGGGATCTTAAGAGTTGAAATAACAAGAAGACTCATGAACTCAGTTTATTTCCTCTTGTAGTAACGTACGCCCTCAACAGAACGTATCAATTCTGGTTGGATGTTGTCATCAACTGAGCAAAGATGTTCGAATATATCGGGATGTAGAACGTCAACTGGTGCTCTCCCAGTTTTCGAATTATTTACAACAGCTTTCCTATGAACTGCTCTATAACGCTCCACTGTAGACTGTATTCCACTACCTGTTGTGGTGGCATTGCACTTTTTGTTAATTTTATATGCTACAGCTTCATACATCCCCACTTTCCTCTTATACTTTTTCATAGGGCCAACCTTTCGATAATTCGCGACATAGACTTTCAGTATTTGACGCTCAAGTTCATCATCATTTTTCCCTAGAAGGAGACAAACACCAGTTAGCAATTTACATAAATTATTATGGCCTATAAAATTCTATACCACTTGAAATTTTGTTTCTGTTTTCACGTTGTGCAATAATGTCCAGTGGGAGTGTCGAATTAAATAGAAAATTTACTTTTATTTTCAAAAAACTATATTTTATTATGGCAGTTTTATTATTGAGAAATGACCTGAATTTACTATCGAATGCTTCTGCTACTTGAAAAAAGTGACGTGACCCCCCTTGCAAAAAGGGAAATAAAAAAGAGTTTCTCCGGGAGAATTGAATTTTCAGTATTATTCGATGTACATCTCAAAACCTATTGACATTTTTAGAAATGCGGAAATTCAATCTGATTCAATCATACCTTGCTTCTTTCCCATTTTCGCAGAGAATTTATAAAATTGATGTTCTTCGTCGTCTGAGTACTCGTCATTTATTGTCGTCTTCGGTGGTTATTGTCATTATCATTTCGTTGGATGGCCCTGCATTATACTGGGTGAAGATCAGCTTACTTTGACTGTGAAATGTACAGAACAGTAAATAAATAAACAAAAAAAAAGTCAAAATAACAACAATTCTGAATAGACTAAATAGACTAGCACTTACTTCTTCTCGATCCTTTTAATGGAAAATATCTCCTTACTTCCCAAAGACAACTCGAAAAGACCTTCGGCGCTTTTTAAGATGTATCTAATTATTTCGCTGTCATCTGTGGATTTTATTATTGAGCAAAATTTTATGATTTTATTAAACCTCGAGATATACAATCTATTAGATTTCCGAACCATGAATTCTTTTGCGCTCAGTCTCATTGCTGGCTTGGAAGCTCACAAAGGTTTTAACGTTCAACTCGAAAGTGGCGGTATCCATGTGGGTTCAGTATTTTGTATCCCCAATTAAACCTGAATGCGGAATTCTGATAAATTCTGATAAAACCGTAGTATTCTTTTTGTTTGATACCGGCAATGACTACAGTGCCAATAACGTTGAGGTGCCTGCGGTATGAAAAAAATGAATTCTGAAAATCAATTATGAAGAAAACATCAACCGATCGTTGCTTCCCAACAGGTTTGTTTATGAGACGTCATTGAAGCCATAATCTGCGTTGATTTAATTGCAGCATTGATTTGTCAAAGATGTGTAAGTATAATTTTCGAATCTTTGAATCTTTTCAATTTTTGAAGATTAATATAATATTTTGAAAAATCATTCCTCGCATTAATGTAATGTTTTCGTTAATTTAGCGATTCGACAGGATGATCTATTCGTGTTTTGCGCTCGTATTGGTCTGTACGAGGACGAATTCTATCCTGTGGATTGGCACAAGGTGGCTTATCGAAATGATGAAGCTTGGAATTGATTTCATCTCATTTCATTATTCAATTCTTTTTCCTTTCAATTTTAATAATTTTTTTTGCGTGGTTATTTATTGTTATAGGGTTGTTGCAAACAACAGAAGGTGGTGCAGCCGTCCAGAATGGGCAGGGCCAAGGAGGCTCAAGGCATTGATCTTACAGATGGAGACACGTTTCAGGCTAATCGTGAATGACTTCAACGTGAGTATTTAGTCTTTTTGTTGTTATTCTTCCACGAAGTCTTTTTTTTATATTATTCTATTATTTTATCAAATTATGTCATTATTATTTATATTCTTTAAAGGAACGCTGCCTGTTGGCACGTGAGGTAGGAGTAGCTCATCAAGGGCCCTACATGCAGCAGCTGTTGGACTACCAGAGAGTCGTTGAGGAACGTGGAAGGCTGCCAGAGAATTTCTGGTCTCGCTAAAAACCCAGAAAAAGGCGACGAAGGAAGATGAGAGACAGAAAGGGAGATGGCAGACACCTTGAAATTGAGTCGCAAAGAAACAGAAAGAGAGATCGTAAGGAAGAGGAATGATGAGAAATTTGGATGAAAGGAGATTTAGTTTGATGTATTTTCATTTTTTCCCCTTTTTTTTCTATTTTGTTTCCTCTTTGTTTATTGTTGCGCAAGTTTTTTTTCATTGCTTGCCTCATTTTGTTGTCTTCTAAAACTATAATATTTCTGTTCAAAAGATTTCGATATAATGAGAAAATGGGAAAAATTAAAAAAAATCATGTATTTCATCAGAATTAACCAATAAATATTTTTTTCACTTCAGAATATTTTTTTGCATAAGATTTGTCATTTTTTTTCATTCATGTTTAAATGAAAATATAAAAATTTGAAATTTCCCTAAATTTCTACTGGAATATTCGATCCTCCACTTTTTCATTTATTTATTATTTTGAAGAGCAGCTCCAATCCCTTAGTCAGAGCATTTCCGTACCTTTGGAGCAGTTTTTGAACGTGGACCTCGTCACCTGACTGTGAATAGCCCCCTACAATAGACAATGGGGCACGTTGAAAACGATGCACTACTTGATTGTTGAGTACAAGTGAGTCACTTTGACCAATGAGAAGAGCTATTCATGAATGGATTAATGTGGAAATTATTCAAGAAGAAATTTTATTGAGTGTATTTTGGATCTTTATAGTTTTTTTCTCTCTTAACGAAGCGTTTCGAGTTGCCAAAACCCACCTGCAGCACTCATGAGTGAAGCGAACATTCATTTTTTTTCTTCCCTAAATGAAGTTAAATCAACTCAAATCAAATAAAAATGCTTGTTTATTGTCAAAATAAAACATCTGCTGACTGTGAACGTATTGCAAGTCTTCTCAATTGTTCCACTCGTTTATTGAATATATATATTGAAGGGTATAAACTTTATTCTGCTCGATTGTTATACGATCCATTGTTATCAGTCAATCAGATATTTTGGTGTGATTAGAAGGTGAGAGGGATGATAAATCAAATTATAATCTATGATAAATCAAATGGGAGACAGTATCTCCAATTTCTTCTTACCTCGTGTAGCATATCCAATCCTTCAATCTCTTGCTGGAGCAGTTGAAGGCGAGACATCAGCTCCCATCCCTTCCTGGAGCAGTTGAAGACGAGACATCAGTTCCAATCTCTCCATGGAGCAGTTGAAGACGAGACATCAGCTCCAATCTTTTCGTGGAGCTCATGAGGACGTGACAGAAGCTCTAATCCCATCCGGGAGCAGTTGAAGATGAGACATCAACTCCAATCCCTTTATGGATCAGTTGGAGTCGAGGGAGGCGCTCCAATCCCTTCCTAGAGCAGTTAAAGACGAGAGACGAGCTCCAATCACTTCCTGGAGCAGTTGAAGACGAGAAATCAGTTGCAATCTTTTCCTGGAGCAGTTGAAGACGAAACATCAACTCCAATCTTTTTTCCTTGAGCACATGAAGACGCGACCGAAATCCTCATCCCTTCTTGGAGCAGTTGAAGACGAGAAACAAGCTCCAATCTCTCCATGAAGCAGTTGCAGACGAGACATCAGCTCCAATCCTTTCATGGAACAGTTGAAGGTGAGACAACAGGCAAGCTGAAAATGAGAGAGCAGCTCTAATCCCTTAATCAGACCATTTCTGCACCTTCCTACCTCATTCACTATTGCTGTAATCACTCGCCCCCATCACTCAGTTGGACCATTTTCGCAACTTTGGAGCAGTTTTTGAACGTGGACCTCGTCACTTGACTGTCAATAGCCGCCAAGAAACTGGGGCACGTGGAACACGATGCACTACTGCTGCATTTACACTCCCCCGAACATGATGCCCGCATAACCTACCCCAACTGCCTTTTTTAGCTCCAATCACTTCCTTGAGCAGGTGAGGACGAGACAGCAGGCAAGCTGAAGATGAAAAAGCAGCTCCGATGCCTTCCCTATCTCATTCACTATCTCAATCACTCACTCCTATCACTCAGTTAGACCATTTCCGCACCCTTGGAGCGGCTTTTGAATGTGGACCTCGTGACCTGACTGTCGATGGTTACCCAGACACTGGGGAAGGTTGAACACGATGCACTACTGCTGCATTTGCACTCCCCACAATAACATGAGCACATAACCTACCCCAAATGCCTTTTACCAGTCCACTAGCACAAAAAATATTTTCCACCAGCGCTAAGAAGACTCCCCCAGGTCTCCAATAGCCTCACACTCCTCAAATACCGGAATAAATAGAATTAACCTATTCGCAATCAAATTAAGCAAGAAACCCGCATTGCGCACATGTCACCTGTTTTATCGACGAAACAGAACACGAAGAAACACGACTAATTATTTTTTGGTTGCTGTGAAACACGCAACGCTTACTGCCGCAGTAAGTGGTGTGAGAAAAACGCTATTATTTATTTATACTCATTTATTTATATTTTATGAGCTTTTGTACTTTTCACGTACAAAATCCAAAAATCCACGGGAACCTGCCATACCGATAGGGGGGACCCCTAACCTCTACGTGTGACGGGATCCGTTAGCTCTTAGGTGTCCAAGCCCTACTTTCATATGTCACCAGCGTCGCCACGGCCGCGACGTTGATACTCTTTTATTGTGCCTTTTTTTACTGCTCCTTTTATCAATTGATGATTCATCATCGTTCCATTATGCTGAGTGTTAACACGCACGAAAATATTTCATAGAAAATCCTGGCGAATTCGCTAGACAATTCTATTGTATTTCTACTGAACTTTTTATTAGTTTTTGGCCGTTTCCATCGAAATGTTCAGTAGAACATATTCTATAGAAAAAATCAATAGAATTCTATTTTTCTGTACGACTTATTCTATAGAGATATTTTCTGTAGAATTTCCTTGGCTTACATTCTCTAAGTTTTTTTGTTTAATTTTCTTGGTGAAAAGAAAAGAAAAAATAGAGTGAAAAAAACTTGGAAAATAAGTTTATAAATAATAGTACCTTTCAGTCTGCTTATCTACGTATTTAGTAATCATCACAATTGAATTCCTTCACGCACGATTCAACGACATTGAAAATTTCCCAACTGCCCGGTTTCCTCACAGGATATGCTCTGGTGGAGAATTTTTTTTCAGAAAACTTCAGAGTCATTAATCAAGAACAGAAAGTTTCATAAGTTTGTTAGATATCCTCACTTTTATATAAAAGATATTAAACTTTACCACTAAATTTGTGAAATTTAATGTAATTGTCATATAAATTTTTAAATATTTCTTGCATCGATGGTGACAGTACTCTGAAGACCAGAGAAACCGCATGTTGATCACAGATGCTCAAGAATTGACTGATAGAATCATCTAGAGGTTCCTGTAACCATAAAACGTTCCATTAATATCATCATAGCAAAGTGAATAGTATAATTGTTGGAGAAAACAAGGCCAAAATTACGTTGCATGTTCCTTGAAAATTGATATGTATTGGCAATGCTGAAAAATTACCTTAATGTAAGTAGGTATGACTCCTCCCCCGTAATAAATTCCGATCATATCTGCAATGATATAAGGACTGAGTTTTGCCGTGTGTTTTTTCATCTTAACAAAAGCACTGGCTAACTTCTGTATCTCCAGAATAATCAAACGCAGCAGCTGTTCTTGGTCAGAACTCTTTTTGGCTACTTCAATAGTCATTTTAACGGCCTTCAAGTACAATCGCATAATAATCGGCAAATAATCAATAGCCACTTCAGGTCGAAACTTTAGGCATGAACAGCACAGGTACAGTGTTCGCTGAGAGAGAGCTAAAGCCTCGGGTGAATCGTTTATGAAGCGGTTAACAATAGTTACAATCAAGTCGATTGTTTTGTCTGTAATCGTCATTCGTTTTGAACTCATGATACTAATAAACAATTTCATGATATTTAACATCATGTTGTTATTCATGGAAACTTCTGTTGATTTTATTGATTGCATCAGCCCCTGAAGAGAACACTGACGAGTTTTCTCTCGATTGGTTCCCATATCCGCCTCCGCCATGGCATTCCAAATAATCAAACAATTTTCAAAAGAATTTTCATCGTTTTTTTTCAATGATTTCAGGGTATTTTTCCTAAGTAAGTTCAAAGCGTGATTAAGAGTAATCACATCACTGGCTTCGGTTAATATTGGAACGATATCTGGTAAGGATTTAATCATTATAAGGCTCCAAATGTTTTTCATCGTCGTGCGGTCTATCGACACGCCTTTGTTTCTGTACTGGAGAACCACTTTTATAAAATTGTAACTTTCTCTTGCAAATTGTATACCATTTATATCGCTCTCAACATTTGGTTTTTCAGTCAAAGTCTTTAAAGTTGTGTGTATTTTATCAATGAGATCGTCGTTGACTTTTTTCAGTGCTACTGCGGCTTTAAAAACAACGGTTAACGTCTTCAGTTGATTTGGATTTAAAGACACATCATTGATATCCAACAAAATCTTTTTTACTAACTTCTTTTCAAATTTGAGTAGTTCCTTATCCTCAGGAGTTTGTACTTTCATTTTTTCTATGCATTCCACCATCATTATTGGTGTGTCTTTATTATTCATATGAGATTTGAGAGCTTGTTTGAGTGGTCCATAGTTTCTGGAGTTTGTTAACGAAGATTCGATGGCTCTCGAAAAAATTCGTTGGGATTTTGATAATTCTAGAATGACAATTTCTGCTTGAATATACTGCAGAAGGTCTTCGTTGTAACGCTCTGACGTTATTAAGAGAATTTCGTCACACAGAGTGACTACGGTGGCATTATCAAGTGTTTCTTTTTTTAACGATAAAATGGCCAGGAAGATGATCGTCTTCAGATCTTTAGTGCAGTACATCAGTGGTAAATGTAATAATACTTCCAAATATTTGATCATGTTACTCAAGACATTTTTATCGTTGAGAACAGTCCACTTAGGTGTTGTCAATAACGTTTTCAATGATTTCAATTTTTTTTTACGTTCCTCATTTTCCCACCAATTTCCCTGTAAAACAAAGTGAATAAAATGAATATGGTGGAATGGAAAACAAGTTAGTGTTTTTGTATATCATTGAATTTTGAATCATTTTCATAAAGAGTAATTTTGAGAGAAAATCGGGGCCTAGTTGATCGATTTCTTTACTCACTTTAGTAATTGTGTCGAGTAATCTCTTAGTTGTAGACGTTGATTCCTCTAAAATTTCATGAATTTTTCTCAAAATCTCCAAAATAAGTGCTGTGACCAAATTCCCATTATTCTGAATTGAATCGATCACCAATATTCCACTAATCGAATTCGAATTCTCTATCAGGAGCTTTGCTAGTTCAGAAATGCTGTCATTACTCAAACGGTGAATAGTGTTTGGGTATTTATCCACCAGAACGTTCCAGAATTGTTCTAAAGCAGGAACTCCTTCATTGCTGTGCCCAACAGCATCCCGATCCGTACATAACTTCCATGTATATTGAATCCCTTGAATGTTCTTTTTAAGATTCAGAAAAACAAGGCCCTTTTCAGTGTTCCCATGCCCCTCAAATTTATTGAAATCTTCCATACTCGCAATGTCATGTAAAATATCACTCCAATCGTTTTCAGTAATTGCATCAGGGGCATAATGATTGATAAATGCTACAATTGTTAACCAAACCTCTATAATTTTCCATAAATTTAAACCAATTATTTGATACTCATCATCTTTACTTTTTCGTTGCAAAACTTTGATGAATTTAGACAGAGTCTTCCCCAAGTTTCTCAATCCATTAACAAACTTTTGTTTTCCTAGCAATGGCCGAGTGACTCTAAACACATCAACGCCGTCTAATACAGCTATGGTGAATTGTCTAATGACTTTAGAGAATATAACGAGTGCTTCAGAGGGCATCGCCAGTGTCTGTTTTATCTTGCCTTCCTGCGAATTCATTAAACACGAGTCCAAATGATAAATGAGACTGGTGAGTATAGTTCCAACTTGAGAATTTGTCAAACTCCCAATTGACGCTGAAAATTTGTCAACAAAATCGTCAGATAAAATGTAGATGTTCCTTTTCGCAATTTCTCCAATTAATTTCGTGTTCATTAAACTTTCATTTAAGGCCATTAAAACCCATGGAATAATTTTTTGATTTCTCCTCAACCGTATGCAAGTATCAATAATTGTACTCATTAATTTCGCGTACGAGTTTCTCTCATCGTGTAAAAATTTTCTTTCGAGCAGAATTTTTTTGAAGATTCTGTTGAGTTTAGTTTCGATTGCGAGAGGATTGTGTCGAGCTATTTGCTCTATTACATCATAATCCGCTGATGATAATGAATTTTTAGAAAGGATTTCATCAATAATTATGTGGAAGGTATTGAAAGTATTCGACTCAACGTTTACACTAGTAGTCTCCCCTGCTTGAGTTGTATTCAGCGAGTTTTTATCGTCATCTTCTGCTATAACAATGGAAAATAAGAGTTCATTTAGTAAAATTTGATAACGAACTGGCAATAACAAACAAAAAATCATGTAGAAAAATTGGGTATATGCTATTCCACCGCATATAGGAACAAAGGTGTTTTGCGAAAACTTTTCATCTTCGTCTTTTATTTTGTATCAATGGTATACCTATGGATGAAAGGAAACGTAAAATAAGCCAATATAATTATCGCGGCTGTTTTGTGATAGCTATTTCGGAATTTGTTTCATAATACAATTTTCATGAAGACTTTCTTTATACAGGAAAAAAAGAAGTGCTTACGGAATTTTTACTATTTCCGACACATACGGAGATATCAGTCGAAAACTGACTGAAATTTTAATTAAACTAGCGCCGTCGCGGCCGCGACGTTGATGCTGTTGCTCATGAAAATGATCATGAAAATGCGCTTTGTTCATTTGAATACGAATATAATGTGGAATGAAAGGTGCCATGGACGTTAGAATCACTCTCAAACTGATGAATTTTTCAAAACCTTACGTAATAGATTCTGATGATTTCATCGATTCATTTCACCAATTTATATTCAAATTCAGTTGGGATAGCAAGAAATTGAAATCTTCTTGTTGTTTTCTCAAATTAAAGATGTGTATTTTATTTCCTAAATGGTGAGATCCGATGAAAATCGATTCCAATAGATTCTTTTATTCCATTCTCTATTTTCTCTAAAATCGTATCGCAAATTTCTTTGTTATCTATTGAATAACGCCGCCAAGGCTGCGATGTTGATGCACTCTCATTATTCCTTTTCTCATCTTGGCGTGGACACGTCTATGTTTTCGTTATGAGGTATCATCTTGTGGAATTGAGTATAAGCCTTAGCGGAATCACATCATATTCTTCGTTTCATCGGCCAATATTCAATAAACTGACATTAAAACATGTAAAACATGTAACTGTACATATATGCTTATTCAAATAAATATGTATGAGAAAAAACTATGAAGTTCATGAGAGAAAAACAAAAACCATAGACTTATCCACGTACAAGTACACCTGTATCAACAATACAGAGACTTGTGAATTTTTTACATTCTTTGTATTTCTTTCAAAAATTAATGATTCATCATTTTCTTATTATACTGAGTATTAAGATTACTATGTAAGCAATTCTTCTCAGTTCATCATTTCTTCGATTCCAATATTTCAATAAGCGATTCACTACTTCTAAATTCCTGTGCTCACTGAATGAGGTTGTAACTATGGATATTATCAAAATTCTATTCAGAGTACAAAATAATAATACCCACAACCCAGAATTTTTTAGCCTTGTTTCCCTTCATTCCTCTTTAATCCTTTATGAAAGCATTCAGTTATTTTTTAAAATTCGGAGTACCTACTTCTCGCATTCATGATTTTCTTCACAATTTTATTATTTGACGATGGCATAAACTTTAAAATTTGATGAATGCTCTGAAATTTTGTGAAATATCCCACGAAATCCTGAATTTTTGTCTAAACTTGAAAATTTTTGTGGAATTGTTGAGAAAATTCAAGGAATTGATCGAATTTTTCAAATTGTGTTCTTATTGCTTATATTAATCAATCGGAGTGCCATGGTTAGGATTACATGACTCCTCCATATTATTTTTATTCGAAAAATTCCCCCTTTGTCTATCAATTGTTCTTCCCTTATTGATTCACAAATAATTTACCGTTTGAGAGATACCGAAAATTTTCTCAAAATCTCGAAAACTCGTGGAGAATTCAATTTTTTTAGGCGAAAACCTCGTAATTGCTTTAAATTGGAAAAACCGCAAATCACGTTACATTCAGATAGAAACCGAAGATTCTCTGATTTTTTAAAGAACCTGCCAACTTCCTCGAAGTTTCTTTAATTCATCCCTTATTCGTCTTTTCAAAATAATAGTTATTAATGTTCAAAAATCTTCTCTCAATGAGTGCTTATATCAGAAATTAGACAAACTTCAAAATTTTCATATTAAGGGTTCAGTCTTAACAGTTTCGGTTTTGAATTATCTCAGTCAAGCTGAAGGGTTCTATTTTCATATTTATGTCGATAGTCCTTTCCTTATACCCCTTTTTTTTATCACATTGCACATTTCTATTTTCAATTCATTGTTCATAATCATGCTCATTGCAAAAACAATGCAACTGATGAAAAAAATGTCCTAATTTATTAGCTCCTAAATTTTTATATTACAATGAATTGCTTGTGCATGTGCTAATTAGCATGCTCGCTGAATGAGATTTTAATCTTTGTTACAATTCAACTTCTCAAACACAATTTAGAGAGTAAATTGCTGGTGTTCAATGTTTACTGATCTTCTGGTAGAAGTACATGCTAACACTGTTATCATTTTGCATTAGATCACTCAGTAATGCATCACTTCATGTTTGAAGCAGCATATTAAAAATTGAAAATGAAAATGACAGTTTGGCTTCTGCTCCATCCTTTTTCGTGAATCTTCATGAAAATTGTGAAATTCATCTTAATGATTCAGATGATATGATATGAATATAATCATTCTTGTTCTTTGCCATTATGGAGTCTTTAATCGCTATTTTTTATTCGTAATAGAATTTTTTAATTTGGGTATTATTATTATTTTTTACTGTGTTGCATTCAGATTCTCCTATACTTAACACAAAAATTGTAAGATAATTTCATAACTCTATCCATTGATTCTAATCAGCTTGGTTTGGAGGAAACCTCAATAAACGCAACATTAAGAAAGTTGAATGATTCTATTTTCTTCTGACTTAAATTGATTGGAAAATTCCAATTGCTTCATTAATAAAAAATGCAAAGTACTTAGATATAGGATATTCATATACTGCATAATAATTCAAGTAACCTGAAAGTTTTGATTTTCATATTGCTAGAATTTACTTTTACTTTTCAATTAATTAAAACACTCCTAAAAATGACTACTTAATGATCCCTGAAATTTTAATTCTTTTTTCCATTATCTCCATTAGTAAAATTGCTCTTTGCTCATAATTATGGGGAACCATTTCAAAAATATAGAAAAATAATAGGAAGACGTCTTTTTGGTGTAAATTAATAAGATGATTGAAAAATCGAGATTTTCGGAGACCATGAGCCCTTTTTTTATGAATCATTCAATGATAATGAATATTTCATTCCAAGAATAATTTTTCCTAAATTGTAACAGATTTTCTCTACTCCCAGAATTTTACAAAAATAAATTTAATGTCAAAATAATTGTATTTTTAGAAGTGAGAACCATTCCATTATTCATTCTTAAGAAGGGAATCTTGAAAATTGCAAATATTTTCGGAATTTTGTTCGAAAAACGGTAATTATCGATTCCTTTTTTTCGAGCTCTTTCTAGCTAATTCAATTGAGGAATTGGTGATTTCTAAATTCAAGTTATAACTCCGCTTTGTACTTCTCGCGCGCTGTTCTAAATAGCCCCATCGCATCGTCATGAAACGTGTCTTGTGGACTCGCCAAAAATTCTCCGGTGCGCCATGACACTTCGCGTCACTGTGCCATGAGCATGCGCAATGCGCATTTGTGGAGGCCGCCATGACAGTGCTCTCTTTTTTACGATAGGACAAGTGGGAAATTGCTCTTGTATTGCATATAGTATAGTTATGTTTGCTAATAAATAGGCAATATGTTTCCGAATGATTATTTTTCATATCATTTTCTTCTATCATATGTAATTCACTGTTTATTACATTTTATTAAATAAAATAAGATTTCATTTAAACTAATTTCGTCAGATTTTCAACGTAGTTGAATGTTATCACCACCATTATTCTTATTATCCCTTTTTTCTATGCAACCGTTATCTTTTTTTGCGGTTTTATCTCTCCCCTCAGACCCCCATGAAGTTGACGAAACACGGTCAAAATCAGGGGGTTTCGAGTGGCGATTAATAATGTGTTGATAATGTGCTTTTTTGTACCGAAAAAAAAATTTTGTACTCAATGAGGTCTTTTGAAAATTGCATCTGACAGTTCGGGGTCAAAATTATGATTGTTTGACTCAAGTTGCGTTATCTACTAATGATATGTTATTTATGTACCAATGGAGGAATTTCCCAGATACCGTTAATGAGATAGTAAATATTGGAAGCACAATTTGGGCGGTTTAATTGGAGGACCCTAATCTACCAATTATGTGCTCTTTCTGTACCACAAAAAAAAGTGTTGGCTCAGTAAATTTCACGTGAAATACTCGCGAATTTTTAAAACTATAATTTGGGCAGTTTAATAGGTAGAGGTACATGGGTAAATTATGTGTTTTTTTTGTAGTACCAAAAAAATCTATTGTTCTGAGAGAATTAAATGAAAAGGCGATGACAAGAATTCTAACGGCTCATTGCTGCAAAACCATTGGATGAGAAAGATTGGGCTCATCATTACGTCGTCATTCTATATGATTCCCAAATCAACTCCAATAATAATTATGGGCCCACCACAAAAACAATCGACAACCCATCCAGGAAGGGTCCATGACCTTGAATTGGCGACACAGTGAGGGAGGGGGGGGGGCGGATTTAAATAAGGCAACAAGCATGAAAATATTATGCGTTATCTGATTCGAGTCACGGAGTAATTATGTTCTCTTCAGGCGCAGAGCCATATCAATAGAGATAATCAATCCATGTGAATCATCATGACTCTGAGAGGTTGGGCGGAAAATGACAATTCGATTTATATGCTCACCAAATCAGGTTCAATCATAATTATGTACTCATCATAAGGATACCCTCCAGTAAGAGGATCAAGTAGACCTGATTGGGGTGTACCTGATGATGCGTCATTTTTTCGCTTTGATGATTTACTGATTATGTGTCACAAATAAAACTGCGTGAATAGATTAGGTACCTACATTACAGATCATTCCTGACACCGACGTACCTGAATTAGGTTCGCTGGAAGAGAGAGATTTGAATAGCACCAGAGAATTATGTGTTATCCGATTCGAGTCACGGACTAATTATGTACGCTTCAGGC